TACGGACACTTTACTAAGTTACATCGACTTTATATCTTTCAACTATGTATGATTTACATTTTAAACTGCAGACATGTCACTTCAACGATGAAAGAGAGCTACCTATGGAGTTGTGATAGTAGTAATCGCCCAATGCGGGACCATCCCATCCATTGACGTCTCTGCTGAACTTGCTCGTAATTACAGTTTCTGTAGACTATTGTTACAGATATGTATTTGATGAAACATTTGGTAGAAAATAACCAAAAGCTACAAGTATAATTTCTTTATATATTTTAACATATAAAATACCAAGAATATTTACGTTGGTCAGTCATGCAGTCAATTTCACATACATTTATAATATATGTACTTGTATGCATCAAAATTTAAATGAATTATTTAATACACTATATTATTAGTTTAGTTGAACTATAAGCGAGGACAGTTTAACAAACCGCCAACGCTCGCCCACTTTTTAGGAGGCTAGGTATATACATATATAGGCACCTATAGTGAATGTTAATTTTAATATCACAGAAGCGACAGTTCAATTGGTGAAGACGCTAATGCAGAAGGTTAGGATTCAATCCCCAACCACTTTACAATAATTATATTATATTATATTATACACTGCCTGTGACAGCGTTCGCATGATCAACATTTGTTGATAAGACACGAATATACAGCCTATGTTTTTTCAATTGATACAATAATAGTGTGCTAAAATTTGACGACTATTGGATACTTTAAGAAACAAAGAAGTAGATGTACATATTAACGAATAAATTATTATATATGTATATAATTAATACATAAATAATATGCTCAATCACTTAATTGTTAATGACCGCCACACTCGGAGTCCTCTAATGACTACTCAAGCAATTTCTTAGTGTATATTTTAAAAATGTCCTCAGAGTTAGCTAAAAGATAATTCCTAATCACAATTAACATACGTAATACATATCTAATAATAACTAAAACTATAGCGACCTAAAGGAACTGAAAAGAATTAACGAAAAGAAAAGAAAATGCATAAATAGAGAACGAACGGAGGACAGTAAAAATAATACAAAGCCTCCACCGCCCGCTTAAGAGATAAAGTACAGGAGATACTTGAATAGTAATTTGATTGGGGCTCAAGTTGAACGACTAAGTATTCAGCGATTAGGAACCCAAGCTTAACAGAATCGAATGCCAATACAAGATTAAGCCTTTCGTGCAATTTACGAATTCAATATGTACTAGTCATTCCTGTGCTAACAGAATCCTAATCCTATATCTATAATTGTACACATTACAATATTTATTATCAGTCGACCTTCTTCTTCTTAATCGTTCCCTCACTGCTGAGGATGTAGGTAATAGAAATAGATGGAGTAAAAAATAATCAACTTGTATTATATATTATATAAAAACTTCTTAATTATTTTTTATACATTACTCCTTTTGTAACGAAAGATCCATGCTTAATATGCATAATATTGATATATAAAATATTAGTCATATTAAATTTCTTTGATTATATAACACTTATAAATCTATAAATAACCTAAACTTTATAAATACATAAGAAGACACATACATATTCTATAACACAAATTTAATAAATATTTTTAAGGTAACGAGTTTTATTTGAACAAAAATGTACGAGAAGAAATACTATGTCTACGGTTCTACCAACAAAACAGCGGACAATTTCTAAAATAAACCTTGGTACAGATAAGTTTTAGGGTCATTAATCATTGAGCAAACTTAATTGGGATGAACTAGGCTGACAGTCACGCGAACAACTAAACTTGTATACTTCTTATCCATCGGCGCGGCGGGGCGGTAAATCGTAATACATATTATATACTCGTACATGTCGCATACCCAATACCAACTGAAAACTTATAGATTTTGGAAATTCCACTGTAAGGTTTTGACTTTAAACTCTAATTTCAATAATATCCTTGTTCTGAGTCGGCGACTTCATACGCACATGTTGTATTAGGGTTAACGATAGTTCATAACTTTTTTTATTGTAAACCTATTTACATAGAACAACAAATACAACAATAAATTTGTGAAAATCGCACACAAATCGGCTAAGCACGAAATAATATATTTCTCTCATATCTTTTATGTACATGATAGTGATCAATAACAATTAATTGATACCCAAATGATAGTGATGATAGTGTATATATGTATTCAGTCATAAATTAATAAAAAATATATAGGTATCGGATAAGTTAGATCTAGGATACCCCTTTGATCGATCCCCCGTCCAATTCAAACGGGGATCAAATTATAACTGCTTAAGCCGAGGTTCGAAACCCTAGCTGGCCTCAGACTAAAATCTTATCCGTCAGGCCGGAGTTGGCCTTCAGCCACTCCATAAGTCCTTCCGCGGGTTTGGAGTGCCATCTGCGCTCGCCCCCTATCGTCCGGTGAAGCTGTAAGGCCAGCTGCGACGACGACGATGACATATTATTTATAACGAACTAGCTATGCCCGCGACTTCGTCCGCGTAAAATAGTGACCTTGCCCAAATAATAAAAAAATATATATTAATAATCTAACCCAATAAAAAAGTTTCATCGTTCTAGCTCCAAAAATGAAAATTTCCATTATGGCTGAGTCCTGTGAAGGTAGGTACTAATATTATATATATAGCCTAAAAAATAAGTTTCAAGCTTCTAGCTTTAAAAATGTCAATACTTGCATACCATATTTCACCTTTTGACCCTTACAACCCATTTTCGTTAATTATATTTAATCAATACGCAAAAAATAAGATTCAAGCTTCAACCTTTAAAAATGACGATACTTCTATATAACCTCCTCTTTCAATCTCTTATAACCCTTTTTCGGATTAAAAAGTAACCTATGTCCTTTCTCAGGATCTAGATTTTAAACTTCATTTAAATCAGTACAGTAATTTTGGCATTTAAGTGAGACAGACAGACAGAGTTACTTTCACTATCGTAATATTAGTAAGGTATTTATTAAACTGACCAACTGACAAAAAAGCGAATGAAAAAATTTTCATCGTTCTAGCTTCAAATATGACGAATTTCCATAAAAACTATTATCTGCTATTTTACTTTACCCCTTGAATGGTGACATTTTTACAAATTTAAATGTCATATTTATTTATATTTAATGTATAGTCTAAAAATTTCTTTAACTTCTTTTGTAAATTGGTGGTCCAGTTGGCCAATAACATAATAAAAATTTGTTAAATCAAAATAATAGATGTGATATTCTAAATTGCAAACATCCCTCTACTTGCGCAAACCATACTTTGACTCTACTGGCCAGAATGGAGAAACGCGTATTCCGACCCTGAATAGCTCGGATGGAACGGTAGATGTTGTTTCTTCCAAGGAAATGTTGTTCATATGTATAGACAACTTCATTCTTAATATTATATATTGTTTTAATCTTCAAAAATATTAATAATATGTGATTACGATCTTGTCCAAGAGCAGGGTCATCAGTTATAGCCCGTACCAGGATTATATTTATGTATTTATAAAATAATATTGCAGAGCAAACGATTATACATTTAAATTTATAAGGAGACAACGGATTGACAATAATCAGTTGCTCGCGCAATTATAAATGCGCGCTGCTTATACAAATGACATTTATGTTTATTTATGTCGCATATCTAGTACAATATTGGTGTAATTCAGAAATAAAAAATTTTTAAAGTTAGACTTAATACCACAGTTATAAAGTAGACTTTCCAAAATTTCTAATTTTTTAGTTAAGCCAGTATTATACATGTGTGTATTAAACCGCATAAAGATAACCTTGTATTTCCATTTTCAACTTTCGTAAATGAATTTAAATTTTGTTCCCTTACAACCCTTTTTTCGCATTAAAAAGTAGCCTATGTCCTTCCTCGGCGTATAGACTATCTGCGTACCAAATTTCATTTAAATCGGTTCAGTAGTTTTGGCGTGAAAGCGAGACAGACAGACAGACAGACAGACAGACAGAGTTACTTTCGCATTTATAATATTAGTAAGGATAACGAACTAGCTATGCCCGCGATTTCATCCCCATGAAATTTATAGCCTATAAGGTTTCATCAAAATCCGATAAATAAATACCGATACCGAAAATTCAATAGTTTTTGCGTGAAAGAGTAACAAACATCCATTTACCCATCCATACTCACAAACTTTCGCGTTTATAATCTTAATAAGATAGGATTAAAGATTGTAAAACGTTCAGATTCGAAATTGGTTGGTTTATTTTTATTCTAATGCCTACAATATTACTTCCTTCTATTCTTTCAATGTAATTTTGTCTAGTATCGTTAATACCTGAACTATAAGTAGCTTTTCTGCTTGCAATCAATCAATTTCGAGAGTCAATACTCGCTACCGAATGTGTATATTGACGTTTGGGTATCAATTAATTGTTAACTACACTATGGTTTCGATATTTGTATAGTAACCCAAATGGTTACAATGGAAACTAAGTTACGCTTTACAACTTCCGCCTTACAATACTACCATCACACAAATGAGTAGATTGGAAAAAATAGACATACCGGATCATATCAGAGGAAATATTAATACTTAGATATTGGCGGTTTTTCTATACATTCTGTCTTACGCACTAAGAATTCATTTTTTAATATATTAGAAAACAGTATATCTTACAAAATATTTAACTTTGGATTACGACAAACTGTGTAAGCATCCAACTAGATATAGACACAGCCTGTAACTAGGAATAACATAGTAGACGAAATACAAACAATGTAGAAAGCATCGATAGTCTGTGAGATCATAGATATGTTAATTACTTATCTAAAGTAATATTTTTTTTTTTGTTTTTAATAAATAGACTAAAAATACGCTATTTAAAAATTCTTTCACTCATAGAACACATTATCCGCTACTAATATGAGCTGTATTTATTTATAAAATAATTGCACCCGTTCAAAGTCTAATATCTCGCTGAAGACATATAAAGAATTAGACAAGTGTGTGTGTAAATAGTAAACTCACCTGTCCATGATTGAAGAAGCCATGCCTCCTAGCGATGTCGTCTACATGCGCCGCCCCACCGGGCACGTGCACAGCGAATTGATTGTGATACAAGGGCTCCGGGATGGCGCCAGCAATATGCAGCGTAGCCAGCAATGCCAGCGCACGCCATGACCCCACCATGACACCGACTGGTCTCAGCGGTCAGCACTCACACAACCACATCGGTCGCAACCACCGCACTGTTACGCACTCGGTCTCAATTGAATACACTTGACGCCGACCAAATCTTTGGCATCCCACTTAGGTTTACCTGCAAACAGAAAATTTCGAATTAGTCTCGGCCGCTTTAAAAGCTCAATTAAAACGCTCCCCTAATTGTAACGTCCACCGTTCTCGAAAACAAAAGGCGCGCGGGAGATATTAAATTTTAATAAAGAGTAATTCCCACGAGCAGCCGGCTCGCTTTATTTAGCTTTATTTTTATGTTCTAGCAAGCTCCATAAATATAAGGCAAATTTAGGCCACGATAAACATATTTGCAGGCGCGGGTGGTACAGCAAATCACGCGCCAGATAAAACGCAATAAGCGGACGCACAAACGCGAACAAGTTAAAAAAATCCGAGCAAAATCCCGAGATAATCCAGATAAGCCACGCGGGCAAAGTATGAAAAGCCTGACCGTGAATATATCAAAAATATTTATGAAATTTTATTTGGAAATTTATCCAACGTCTGCCACAAGTGAAAGTAGTCTTTGAACAAATTTCTTTGTGCTGTTCATTGATTCAGCTTTGAATGATATTTTCATTTAAGTATCCACAGAAAACTGCTTGAATATTTTAAGAAGTATTTAGATAACGCTCGATCGAGTTATCTTAGATGATCCGGATCAAGTTTGGTGGAAATAAAATTTTAAGAAAGCGCCTTGTATTTATATATTATCATATACCGTATCATTTCTATATTCATTGGAACTAGCTTCATGTATATTTGTTGTAGAAGGTTTCAAGTTGCAACAATTACAAGTGTATTATATCAAATAGTTCTTAAAATCTGCGATTTAAAAAACTCATGATTATTTACTTCTATGTTTTGTACACAGAAAACTTCATATATGTTAAATTTCTTGCTAATTCTCTCGGTTATCTAATAAATCTATTGTAAATGTATCGGTATAGCGGAATAAAAATTATCACTCAAAAATACTTCAATTTAAGTATATTTAAATAAATATTGTATCTCTTAGGTATTTAGATGAAAGTGATCGCATAAAATGTCAACTTCATTCCATTTCGACACTTCAATGCAACGAGTAACTCTGTCGCAGACTTGAGATGTGTTACTAGGAGAAGTATACGACAGTACGATTTTATATATCCCCTCCCGTAGCACCTGAAGAGCTCAACTCCGGACAGTTTATATAGAAGTTTCTGTTGCGAAATAAGTTTAAAACAAACCTAATAAACTCCACACCTACGCCCTACATAGTACTTCCGTTTACCTATTTAGTGCTACTATGTTGCAAATGAAAGGATATAATTGAAGGTAATGAAGACAAATATAGTTGTCTTTATGTGCGTTATGCAATGTAAATGCAATGTATATTATTATATAACGCAATAACATTATTATCTTATAAATTACTAGCTATTCGCCCCGTTTTGATACGGGTGTATTATATATATAACCCTTCCTCTTGAAACACTCTAGCTATTTAAAAAAAAAACCGCTTCAAAATTCGTTTCGTAGTTTTAAATACTTAAAGCAAACATAGGGACAGACAGCGACAGCAACTTTGATTTATACTATGTAATGATGATACTATAACATCATAAGAGCCAGGCGTATACGTTTCTTCATATATTATTTTTAATAAACCAGTCTAGTGCAAGAGGATGAGGTAAACCGACCTCAAAAAATACTTTTACAAACACATGATATCAACACGTTCGCACCTTAAAGAGAATATAAAATATTTCGAAATATTGCGTACATACAGCAGCGCACTGCAGGTTTCCAACAGTTTTACGGTTACGTCTACTCCGAGATCTCTGCACTAGCGATACAATTCGGGGAATTTTAATATCCTGTGTAACAAAGATAGGCTGCTAGCGTCGCTGAAATGGTTCACAGTTCCAAGGTATTCATAGGTGCTGTGACAGAGAACTAAAATGGTCAGTTCGTATGTCAACTATATAAGTTGGCAACTGACACTTTGTAAATCTTATAATTCCGTGTTTTTCAAAAGTGTAGAAGAAAGTTAGTTCGTTTGCAACTAAAGAAGTTGGTAACTGACACTTCGTAATGATGTATGTACAAAACGTGGATGATGAATTTTTTTACTGCATTTGAATATATAATAATAGGTTAGGATTAATTGTAATATTACGTATACCTATACAATTAATACTAACTTATTATTATATATTTTCTTTTAAACGATTAGTAAACAAATTCATCCAGCTATAATTGAATAAAGACGAAATTTTTTTATTTATATTAGGGGCGAGTCCTAATATAACAAATTGTATCATGAAGGACATATACCTGCTACTTTGTATAACTTAAGTGCGCATCACATTGAATTAAATTTGGCAAGCTAATTCTGCTAGAGAATTGTATAAGGGCGTCAACAAAAGCCCATATTTGCTCTGAGTTTGAAACAAAAACCCGACACAAAAACAGGTAAGTTGTCCGTGGATACATTTAATGTAGCACCGTCGCAATGGGACTACCATGTTTAAAAGGCCCAGGGTTCAGTTACTCACCATGATATAAATATTAGGGTATTAAATTATCACAAGAGGTAAGTTTACAAAATTACCTAAATTTATGTCGTATCGATAAAATAGACTTAAAGTGTATTTAGTCATTAATTATACGCGAGTTCAGGGAACGAAAAAATCAACGTCAGTCATTAACATTCTGTAAATCAAGAAATAAAATAGTTGCTTTGTAAATCGACAAGTATAATACTCAGACGCTAATACCTGATCAATTTGACTAGACAGCTCAAACATACAATACTTGCTTACAATATTTAATTATTTCCGCCAATTACTCTAGTGACACATTTTGAAATCCACCAGGCTTGGTGAGAACGAGGCCTTCATCTCGTATTTTCCACCAAAAACAAAATAATATTTTGATTAATTCTGCTACAATTAGGACTTTCACAAAGGACTGAAACTTGCCTCGTCGAGTTTTAATCGCCGAACAGTCACCAGTAGGCTTTCAAGCTATATATCGAACTTTATTCAATACCTAATGATGCCTCGTTCAGAGGCGAAACACATGTCGCAATATGGGTGTAGACTCAATAAATGTCGGAATTTGATCACCATTAGAGAAGGTCGTAACGATAGTGTATTTTCCACACTGGATATTTGTGATCGCACACATGCTATTTGTAATGGAATTAAAGAAAATAATATAAAGCAATTAAGTAGTGTAGTTAAATAATACTAATTCGATAAATTACAAAAAAAAGAAATCAGTTCAACAAACAATTAACTAAAATATTGATGAACAAAAGATATATAGCGATCGTATAATTTTATGAATTCATTTTAAAAATATATTAACACGAAATAGAGTTCTCTATGGTCCGCTACCTATTGCCCTAAAATATTGTGGTAACATTCGCATCGAGTATGTAAGTTACGGTTTCTACTTTCAGCAGGTTTCTTGGCTCGACTACGCTGTACTGAAATAAGTGCAAATAGTCGCATTGTAGTATATAATACATTACCTTCATATAATACAGGTCAGTGGTCAGTAAACATATATGTAAGACGTAAATTTATATTAATATTTATTATTTTAACTATGGTACGAATATATGACCTCTATGCTGTTTATAGTTTTTTTTTTTATATAGTTACAATATAGCTTATTTAGTGTCATGTGACAAAATTGTAAAATAAAAGGAAAATATAATTCTGTTCTACAGACCCGCATATTATTTATTTAGCTACTACTACTATACGATACTATTTTTTATTTTCCAGAGTAAATCCGTCATGAAGATCCGCACGTCGTAGGGGAGGGACATGGATACTGCCCGACTCCTACCAAACCCCATGGTGTCGTCCGCTCACTATTAGCGCCAGGGTCACGAGATCAAAGTCGCAGTCCACCTTCACCTGGCTAGACTAACTATCTCAACCCAAAACTCAACGACAACATACTAGTACCTAATTATTTTCGAATGAGCGGTAGATTAAAAAAATCTAATGACTATTCAAAAGTGCTTCAATGTAAGTATATTTGAATAAATGATTTTCTATTCTATTCTATTCTATTTCAAAAACCAATGCACTTTTTAAAAGAAATACAGATGAGACTACTTTGTTTAACATATCCATGTTCATTATTTCCTATTATTTTAACTTCATACACGTCACAACTGGACATGACATTAATTAATTCTGCATGCCAGATTCTAGTGAAGAGTGTGACCACTAGTATTCATAAATAAGCTATCACGAAAATCACTTTTCAGGCATAACAAAGTAGTTTGTATTTGATTTGTTCACACAAAATCCATTTGATAGTAGTTTTAACCACAGAAAAAAACTGGATGAAAAGAATATATAAAGCTTATATGGAAACAGTTATATTTTGCGACAAATCAAATCAAATCATTTTTTTAGCACTAAACATTGGTTTACATAGTTGTTATTGTAATATAATGTCCCATTATGTTTTGCCTCATTAGGCATGCAAAATATAAATATTATTTATTAAATATCAAAGAAAATACTATATATATTCCGAGTTTAATTTATTTTTAATAAAATATTCTTATTCAGTTAGATATCTTAACGGACAGATCCTAAAAATACAAACGAATAAACAATTATATTTCATACTACGCATCCTAATATGCATATTTATAAGTATTCTAAGTATTTACTTGTGTTAAACACGGATACTGAAAAGTACTGAAGAGCAGAATTGGCACGCGCTAAGGAAAGAAAGAAATATACATCACAACATTATATAAACACTAATGATTTAAACTTCGAACCCCTTAGTTATCTTACTAAGTAAGTACGTAGTGGTAGTAAGTAGTAAGCAAGTACTTACTTACTACATACTAAAAAAACGATGCTATTTTTGGAATAAAGTAATCATTCTTACTCACTTAAACCGTATTTAGTGAGTAAGAATGAATACTTTATTACAAAAATAGCATCGTTTTTTTTATGACCTCTGGATGCGACTATTGTAAGTCTTATTGTAAATCATCACAACATTATGTGAACACTGACTTTATTATTTTAAATTTGAAAAAACAACTCCTTT